CCATCGTTTCCCCAATGGCAAAATAGACTACCATCGTTTCCCCAATGGCAAAACAGACTACCATCGTCTCCACAATGGCAAAATAGACTACCATCGTTTCCCCAATGGCAAATTAGACTACCATCGTCTCCACAATGGCAAAATAGACTACCATCGTTTCCCCAATGGCAAAATAGACTACCATCGTCTCCACAATGGCAAGATAGACTACCATCGTTTCCCCAATGGCTGTGTCGAGTAGATAGCCTAGCTTATGCCAACTATGATGAATTAGAGGATGAAAGCCTCTGAATCATGTCGAACAAAAAATGAATGATTTATCAATATTTTTGGGAGTTTTTTGGAAGTGCAACTGACAGTAGTTCTACACTATACCATTTCCCAGACAGTCTGTTGGCTTAGACTACTATGTACTGTAATTTGTACAGCGCCTGTTCTAGTCTATACAATACTTATATGTCTGTACCACCAAGGTCAAGGTCATTATTATATATCATACTAGAGATCAAAGGTCAGATATTTCAAAGCAAGATTTGTTTAATTATAGAGTGTAACATCAATTTTCAATACGACATATTTGAGAAATATGTTGATAGTTTCATTTTTTTTAATTTATTTTTTTCACTTTTATATCTTCAGAACATCATTTGTTATCTCTGCATGTGTCTTTTTAGATCTGAATTTCAAAAGTAATGGGAGTACATCAGATAAAAACTTGCTGTTTACATGTCAGGAAACTGATGAAAATTTAAAAAACACTTGACCCATCTGTGAAAGGTTACTGATATAGGGCAACATTAACAACCAACACATTTCCATTGTTCACATCTGAAACATATTCACCTGAATATTTCTCAAAAAAGGCATTTAAGTTTTCCTGTTATTGGCACTAAAAGCAATTTGCAAACAGTGATGTTACAGTTATAATTTATATTATTGATTTGCTGATGTTACAGTTATAATTTATATTATTGATTTGCTGATGTTACAGTTATAATTTATATTATTGATTTGCTGATGTTACAGTTATAATTTATATTATTGATTTGCTGATGTTACAGTTATAATTTATATTATTGATTTGCTGATGTTACAGTTATAATTTATATTATTGATTTGCTGATGTTACAGTTATAATTTATATTATTGATTTGCTGATGTTACAGTTATAATTTATATTATTGATTTGCTGATGTTACAGTTATAATTTATATTATTGATTTGCTGATGTTACAGTTATAATTTATATTATTGATTTGCTGATGTTACAGTTATAATTTATATTATTGATTTGCTGAATTGCTGTCAGTTATTTAACAAGTTATGGATTAAATTGATTTGAAGATATTGACCTTGTTATTTGACCTTCAGCTTCCAGGAGTCTGGGTCACGAGATGTCGGCTCTAGACCAGCTGTACCAGGACCTCAGTGTGCCTGTGTTTGCCACTCTCAAAGGGGTAAGTATTGTCTGGGGGCTCTATATATATATATACCTTTAATAACAAAAACAAAGGGGTAAGTATTGTCTGGGGGCTCTATATATACGTATACCTTTAATAACAAAAACAAAGGGGTAAGTATTGTCTGGGGGCTCTATATATA